CTGTAAGTACGTTTTTTTATATTTAAAGAATTTGCCACTGATGATTCAAACGCGAGTTTTGGGCAGTGTGGATTAACGTTAGCACTTGTTGTTTGTCATTTCTCTGATCACAAATGCAGACAGGGTTTTATGTTTACTCGGCGCAATGCAACGCAACGCGTAAAAAGACAGTATAAGTCATTATAATCCATTTATGTCCCCACTGGATGCAACAAATGCCTCTTTTGTAATGGGTTTTAATGTTTTTGTTTCGTCGCTCCGGCCGGGACACGGCATCAACAGTATGTGAGGGGCGTAACATTTCCGTCTCACGCTTGAGGTATTCGGCCAATCACAATGCACTGGATAGCTGGCCAATCAGAGCACACCTCGCTTTTTCAGACCGATGAGCTTTGTAAAAATCGACGCGTTTCAGAAAGGCGGGGCATAGAGGAGAAACAATAATGTACAGTATGTGGAAAATAATGTGTTTTTTTAACTTTAAACCGCATAAACTCATGTCATTACACCAAATACACAAAATTATGTTCTTTTTAGCAGCATCATATGACCCCTTTAAGAAGAATTCAAATTCTTGAAAATAATCTTCTTAAAAGTCATCATAAATAGCTTCTTGAATTTAGGACAGCCCCAGGCTTGTCTTAAATCCCAAACAGTAAGAATTATTTAATGTATTTATTGGGTTATTTCAAATTAAATTGTTATATTTAAGCATTACAACAACACTAGCTACATATAATACATAGTAGGACTATTAATAGGGATGTGCATGAGTTTTCTGAAGTGACAGCGGTGACTGATAATGTAAACAATGATCGGTCATGATTAGCCTTTGTGTGACGCTACTTTTTGCTGACTTCAAAACTCAGGGGCCGTTTACACAACAACGTTTTCAGCCAAAAACGGGAAACTTTTTTTGCGTTTTGCCTGTTCGTTTACACGACAACAGCGTTTTGGGGACTGAAAGCGCATATTTTTGAAAACGGGTTTCAAAGTGCAAGTTTTTGAAAACGCCACGCCACCGTTATTGTTTCCGTGTAAACACCCAAAACAGCAATCTTTGAAAACGGTGACGTCATGCACGTGCGTAGTACGTGTTAGGGTTAGGTTTTTGTTTTTTTTGTAGTACATGTTAGATATGTAGACACGCGCAGTACCTGTCGATTTTAAAGGCAAGCGCGAACAAACATACACAACAATGGCGGAGTACATGGTACTGTTGTTGCTGCTCAAGAGTTTGCTAACGCTTCTTCAGCAAAGTGTGGATTTACTTCACCAATAATACAACCAACAGCGGAGACGCATCATAAACATCAAATTCTTTAAATATAAAAAATGTACTTACAGGCTGTGAGTCAGAAGTGCCAGACTGTCCTTGCAAAGTTGGAACTGCCCCACTTTATAGAACAGCCTTTGAGCACAGACCCATTGTAGGCTACTCTGCAGGTTCAGGAAACACTCCTCCATAAAATGCGTCACACAGAATCACACATGGCGGGCTTGAGTGAGGAACGGCAGGCAGACCACTCCAAAGAGAAAGGAACAATTGAAATCGCATCATATGACCCCTTTAAAAACGTGAAGCTGAGCGCCAGTCATGGTCACGACGGAAATATTGTGCATGCTTATTATGATTATTAGGGTAGTCTGCAGGAAGTGTAAAAATACAATAAAGTGTGAGTTTTTCAGTGTGTCATGTATTCACTTTTTTAAGAAAAGTATTTAAAAAAAATTAAGATGTTCTTAAGAATATATTTGAGAACTTAAGAATTTTTCAAGAATTACACTTAAGAGCATTCTTACGAACTTTGTGGAATTTATCTTAAGAAATTTCTTAACATTTCTTAAGAAGATTTTCATGAATCCAGCCCCTGAAGATCTTATTCCACTATATAGAACCTTTTGTGCAATTGAAAGGTGGATTTTAAAGGTTCTTAATGGAACCACTGATGGCAATAAAGAACCTTTTATTTTTAAGTGTATAAACGGTTTTTGTTGCATTTTTTAATCAAATTTTTATCATTTTGATGTTCATACTTTAGTTTGCTTATAGGAGGCGCTCTTATACGATGTCCATGCCCAAGGTTCTGCCATTTTCTCACCCAACGCCCAAGTGCACTAGTGTTGGGTGATATGCTCAATTGTCAGCCTGTGAGATCGCCGATATCGTACTAATTTATTTAATTATTTATTTACTCAGTTTACTGACTTTAGTCTAGCGCGAGTTTATGCACTTTAAAAACACTCCCGTTATAATCAGTGAAAATATCTACACTGCATGATGAATAAATCTCTTATATTTACATCGCACGTACATCTGCACTTTGTTGTTTATGATGAGAGAATTTGCAAGAGCATGCGCTGAACAACAAAATTCCAGTGTTTCAGCGATGACTCATCTGAACGCCTGAGTTGAACTCTGATTGGCCATTGCATTCATAAAGTGGCTATAACGCGCAGCCCTGTAAAGAACAAATAAGCCCTAATATTAAATTAGATAGTATTACTAGCCTGATAATAATAATAATAATCTTCTTGCTATTGTCAAGGCATCAGCCACTCTGACTATCGTCGATACGATATCAGCACAACCCTAAAGTGCACATCTATCATTACTAACAATTTTATAAAGGCGCTTATATGCATGTTTGGTCTCAACACAGAGTTTTTTTTTTTCTTTTTTCATTAGAATAACTGTAAAGCTGGACTGAAGTAATCTGGTATGATCCTGCCACAGAGCAGCTGCTGTTGGTTAACGGGTGTTTGTTAGAGATTTAGTGTGATAGACCGCATACTAAACCACTTCATACTGCACCATAATCTACATAAACTAGAAACTACAGGTTATCAAGAGCAAAGTGCACACCATTCATGACCGTCATAATATTATGAACTATATTAAAGACAACTGTGTTTGCAGAGCATTTAACTTCATATTGTAGCGTATTTTAGAGTGAAAAAGAATAGTCAACTAATGAGGGACAGGACTTGATTTTATCACTCAAGATTTGATTGGATGACAATTTGTAGGGCTTTTAATAATGTACTACTAGTTAATATCATGTTACGCATCTCACACGGTCTTGGTTACATTATATTGTAAAGAAACGAAGGTTGTTACATGCTGTTTAAGAAGAATTAAAACATTTAGACTAATGTACACTGCAAGACCTCTCTAACATTTGTTTCTGTTTGGGTAATAGTCAAATAGTTATTTTAGTTTCTGTAATACTAAAAATGCCATATTTTAAAAACACAAGAAGTACTATTTAACATACTTTTTAAATCTGATTTGTATTTTTTTTAAGGTAGTTATTATGGAAATAATATACTTTAATATATTTAAGCGTTAACTGAATGTAATGTTTTCAGACTCATGTAAATATTTATATGATGTGTATTTGCTGTTTAGTGCATTTAATTTAATTAGCTTTAAATGGTATATTGAACAGACTTTTGTTAAAATTACTTTACATGTGCATTAGTATGTTAGTTAACACATCAAAATAAGTGTATAAGAATTAAATTGTTACATTTTAGATTATAAATATATTTAAAATGTACTTTAAAAATGTTTAATTTGATATCGTATTTCAGTAAGTGCACTTTTTAAGTGTACCTAAGACATTTATTCATGCAAGAGTGCTCCCTTTAAGTACACTTAAGCAGCCTTTTATTTTATTAATGTTACTTGTTAAGTACACTAGTAAGTGCACTACAAGTGAACATTCAATACAAAGTCTATTTCTTTTTCAGAAGTGTATTCATAATGAGGGTCCCCTGTGTTTAGCCTGAAGCTCATGGTCTTGGTATTGTGTGTGTGGTGTGTGTGTGTGAGCGTGTGTTTCCGGTGATGTACACACACACACAGGTCTGTGAGGGCCGGCGGGTGGCGGAGAGCTCTGTTTGTGTTCACATTCCTTCTTGGTCTCATTGCGGTAACGACACAGATATCTGTGGCATGTTGTTAGGCAGGTGTTGTGACTGGGAGATAAGACGCTGCTTTAAACGTCTACAGAAGGGAAGAGGGATATTCTGGTAATGCAGCTGAATAACAAAAACAAGCAACACTCACAAATCTCCCACACACGCCTTGAATACGTTCTGCCTAAAAACAGCCACGCGGTGAGACTAGTTTGGCTGAACGTTCATTCCAAAATACACTAAACCTAACAAAGCAGCCTGGTTAATTCCACTCGTGACAGCTCCACAAACAACATTCCAGCGGCATTCAGTATTCAGGGATTCAACGCTGACCAGTATGCAGAAAAAATGCCATTCCATGCGTTCAAGTGTGCCCGTTTGCTCCTGACTGCATTAGTGTGCTGCATGCAATCCCATAATTCCCAAACAGACTACATCTGTATCGCAGATATTGACACGTACCTCAACTCTCTCTTCCTCAGGATCGGTCCAGGATGTACGACAGCTTGAACATGCACTCGCTGGAGAGCTCCCTGATTGACATCATGAGGGCGGAGCAGGACCCTCTGAAGGGTAAGATCCATTTCCTGCTCACCATGAGAGTCTTATAAGGCTTTTGAAGACAGGAAGTCGAGGACAGTTTCACTATATATGGCTCATATGAGGTCTGTCTTCATCACTGTCAAAGAAGATCTGGCATTTGTACTGATTTAGCTTATTTTCATTAATGGATTGATTGAAATAAAAGGAGAATATGTTTTAGAAGATTACGTCGAGCTTTGCAATGGCCAGTGTTGCTTCCAGAGATAATGGTTTCTTAATATCAAAAAGTCTGGTTATAAAACAGATCATCCGTGCTCTAAAATCTGATCGGATGACGTTCAGAGAGGTTGTAAAACAGCCAGTACACACACACCTATACACATAACATAACATAAACATGCACAAACATGTTGCGTCTTTCATATATTTTTTTGTCTTGTAACAGTTTTTATTCATAAATTAGTCTAACATAAGCAATAAGTTACCTGAGGCTGTGTGAAATAGTAAATGTCAGTATGAAAGCACAGTTGATTATTCTGTCCCCTACTTATTGTGCAATAATCGACATATTATGACTCCAACATATTCAACACGCTATTACTCCAATTATCTTTAAATAATCAGGATTGAGCTCTTGTGAAAAAGTAGCATACATTTTATGTAATGTTTTCAAACACACAATTGCATTTTAATTGTAATTCAATTAAAATGTATTATAGTTCAAATGTATATTAAATGCAATAAGCTTCCCTGAAGTATGTAATTTCATAATTACTACATAATGTACTGACGAGCATTTATGCTAAACTAAAATATACTTAAATGACATTTTTATTGGAATGTGTATGTCATATAATTATAATGACACATTTGTAATGATCCGGTTGCAATTTACTATATTTAAAATATCTAATATAACTGTAAATGTACATGAAAAAATACTCTACAGTTAAAATTATAATCAAGTACTTTACATGTGCTTTAGTATGTTCATCAATACATCAAAATAAGTGTACTTCTTTAAAGCACAACAAAAGATTATTAAGACATAATGATTTAAAATGCACTTTTAGTGTGCACTTTAAAGTGTGTAAAGAAACAGTCATGCAAGTGTCTCTCTTTATGACCTTTTATTTCATTATCTGTAAGTACAGTTTATGAGCATTTATGCTAAACTAAAATATACTTAAATGACATTTTTATTGGAATGTGTATGTCATATAATTATAATGACACATTTGTAATGATCCGGTTGCAATTTACTATATTTAAAATATCTAATATAACTGTAAATGTACATGAAAAAATACTCTACAGTTAAAATTATAATCAAGTACTTTACATGTGCTTTAGTATGTTCATCAATACATCAAAATAAGTGTACTTCTTTAAAGCACAACAAAAGATTATTAAGACATAATGATTTAAAATGCACTTTTAGTGTGCACTTTAAAGTGTGTAAAGAAACAGTCATGCAAGTGTCTCTCGTTATGTACATTTAAATGACCTTTTATTTCATTATCTGTAAGTACAGTTTATTTTTAAATGTACTTTTATAAAATGTACTACAAGTGCACATTCATCACATACAATCCCTCTCAGTTTCCCCCCCTTTCCTTCATCTTACGCCCACTTTTCCTAATCAAGCGAAGTCTCGATGGATATAATCAAGTCCTCTCCTACACATTTTACACACAGAATATCGTACTGTAAAATAGGTTGCCAAGCCAACAGCGTTTTATGTTGGAGGTTTTCAGGTAATCTAATCATGGTAAAATCACTATAATGCACTCTCTCTCTCTCTCTCATGTCCTTTTGCTTTATTTTGTGTTGAGCGGCGTGTGTCTGTGTCATAGGAGGGCAGAGAGGTGCGTGTGGTGCTGTGATCAGGGTGTGGCACTGCGCTACACTCACTCTCTTCTCGCTCAGCCTGCTGGAGCAGATGGACCAGACACATGGGGCGGCACTCACTGCAGAGACCCAGAGAGGGAAGGGCGTGGGTACGGCTATATTTAGCGCAGGGCACACTCTGCCACCGTGTGTGTGACAGATAAAAGACAGGAGAGTGAATGTGGGTCTCTACGGTTTACACAGGCCCTCCTTTAAAATCAACATGAAACCTGATTTATGTTAGTACTTGATCGTGCATGACTGATAATGCAGCCGTTCTAAATTATTGCCGCAGTTAACGCTATAATTTAATGCTGGCTGCTGTCAATGTGATAAAGGTTATTGCAATGATAGCACATAACAATATATAATATATTCAATTAGCATTTCATGTTGACTTTAATCTGGAAATTGGGGGTTGATAGTACAAAACCATCAGATTATGATCTACGTGTTTTATTAGCTAAGCTACCTGTGCTTTAGCTTTTCAAACATGGCATCATGTGCTTAATCGAACAGATCATGGGAGATGTGCTGAGCGAACCACATTTCTAAGAAACCTGTTTAATGAACGATGGTTCGGTTAATGGGTCGTCACGAGAGGATGCCAGCATCAGGGAATGTGCTGACTCTCGCTAAAGCGTTCAAAACAACGCAATGCTGTTGAAATATTAAACACTTGGCAGAGATATCAGACCGCTATACAGTATCGGTTTGTCTTGTGATGTTGTGCGTAATCATAAAGCAGATGAAAGGAAACAATAGTTTGATTTACTGTGGATAGACGATGAGAGCTCTGAAACATTGTAATGTCTCTAGGAGCATCCGCGTTTAATAAGTAGACAGCAGATGGTGTGTGTGTGTGTGTGTGTGTGTGTGTTAAGAGGACTTACACAGCTGATTCTCTGTGTACCTGGATGTTTTCTAAAAAATCTGTCAAACTAGATTATGGATAAATCTCAGGACAGCATGTCCAGGTTTCCACATTTGACCCCAAAATCCAAAAGATTTTTATATTTTGGATATATATATAAAAAAAAAAGCCCTGCAGAAAAAATACTCACTTTTGACTTGTTCTGCTAACATTTTTACTGGCCTCACTACAAAAGAATGATATATTTTCATTTTTAGATATGTATTTTATACATTTAGTAGATGTATATATTTTTTATACATTTCTATAAGCATTTATAGAAATGTTTTCTTTCCATTTACAAAAACAATTGTTTACTTTATAAAAAGAAAATTTGCAACTAGAAAGTACAGAAATTAGCATAAATTATGTAACTCCATAAATTTATGAAAATGCTTTTGCTTGAAAACAATTGAACTCAATGCAAAAAAATAAATTAAATAAATACTGCTTAAGCAAATTATTACTGATAATTTCAAGACTGTCACAAGCCATTTTGCAATTTCAACAAAACTTAATATGTTAGACATCTAGATAACATTATCTGTGTGACAAATGAGCAGAATAAAATTTTTCAACATTTCAATTTGCCCTTCTCTCTATCTGACGGGGCCCCTTGCTTTGGTTGGGCCCTTGAAATCATCCTAAACATCCCCCATGTTGCAAAGCCCCTGACAAATACAGATTCAAAATAAATGTATCTGTGTCTTAAGTGTCATGTGACAGAGCTTCAGATTTGATGCTCTATGTTTGCATATGTCACGTGACTGGGGTCAAACTTAAGGTTTGTAACACAGCAAAGTAACACAGCAAAGCTAATTCATAATTTCTAACATGAGGATTCACATGGTCTTCATATCACATCACGCACCTGCAGCGCTTCTGCGAGCTGAGAAAAACATAATGCTATGCTATATATATATATATATATATATATATATATTATAACTAATAAATAGGCATATAAGAGAAATATATTTTTACTTAAATAATAAATTAAGAAAATGAAAGAAAAATGGTGCAACTTAACTAATAAATAGGCATATAAGAGAAATATATTTTTACTTAAATAATAAATTAAGAAAATGAAAGAGAAATGGTGCAACTAGTAGCCTAGTATGCAGAGTTTCAGTTCATTTTTGTGCTGCGCGAAAGGAACCAGATGACAGAAAGCGGCATCCTATTTTTCTTTAGGCTTATTTTACAAAAGCACAAAGATTTGTTTTTATTGTGAATGTACACAAATAAAGACAAACCTTTTACAATTCTGATTATCTTTATGACTAAAAGGAGTAGTTGCTTCCACTGT